CTTGTTTCCTGTCTTCTAGGTAAGCTTCTCATCCTAGCATGGCTTCTTAAAGTCCTGCCCAGCCTGGCTTCTACACCTGTTCTCCATTCTCATTTTTCTCCCCTCTGGAAGCCTCTCTCTGTGCTGGGCATGAAGCATGGAGACTTCTAAAACACCAACTGTTTGGCAGAGTCATGTTTTTGCTCACACCATCCCCTCTCCCTGGAGCACATCTTTCTTCCCCATCTAACTCATCTGCCCTCCTCTGAGGGTCCTCTATTCGTGTTTCCTGGTGCATCTTGAAGGCTACCTCTTCCATGCCACTTTTTTTAACTCCTCAGGTGACTGTGTCTCTCTCTCCTTTTGCCCCATCAGTCACTCCATGAAAATCTATAGTGGATTTTAGCATAAAATATTATTTGCATTTTTATTTTTGTCTGCCACTATGGAAACTCTTAACTGTGGGTTCAAGCCATTTTTCCCAAATGAATGAATTTGTGACTAGTATGATAAGATCACGGAAGGCATTAGCAACATAGCAATAAGTTACTGCCCTGCTATCCCAGGGCCATCATCATGGATTTTAACGTGGGAGTCACATTTCCATCAACTCCAGACAAAGCCAAGCACAGGCCACAGTGGTGGATGAGACAGGTGATGAAATCTGAGAGGCTAAGGGCTCCTCCCTCTCCAGACATGGGGTAGTGTCAGGACCCCCACTAAGTTACTCGGGGCTTTCTAGAAGGAAGGACACCTGGGAAACAGCTCTTACACAAGCAGTGCTACAACCCTCTACACAAACTTTGTTTTCATAAGGTATGTTCATGAAGGCCGTGATTCAGGGAACAGAGAGAAGGAGCTTGAGGGGAGGACAGGGCTGAATGAGCCAGGCATTTCTTGTGTCACTATTTCTCCAGGGGTCAGAGGAGTGAGATGTTTGGAACATTTTCCTATTGACCCTTTCCTTTTTCAAAGGTTTTTTTGGTTCTGACTGTCCCTGTCACCAAGAGGCTCAAGGTTCAGCCAATAGGAAAACCAGTACAGAAGGTTCCCATATTTCTGCTGTTCTGGGATGTGTCCCTCTTATCTTCTTATCCTATAGAGCCTCTGGGCTCCCTCCTGGGAGCAGGAGATGCACCGGGGGCTAAGTGAAGACGAGAGGTGCAAGATCAGGCTGAAGTGTTGGCCCTGGAAAGTGCCTGGTCTGGCCAGGGCTGCAGGCCTATCATCCTGGAGGACACACTCTGCTCAGCACAGGGCTGCCCTGTGGAGCTGCCCCCACAGCAACCTGCTCTCCCGTAACTGTGGCCATGGGTGAGGGGCTGGTGTCCTCTGCTCAGGCGGGCTTCTAAGTCACTGGTCCTCTATTTTGTTTTGTAGTTTTCTTCAAGAAAGTGCTGAAAGGGCTCCAGCGAATGGGGCCATCTCACACATTTGGGCATATTTCCTTAATTTATGAGTACTCCTTTATTTCTAAGCCAATTTAGTACCTTCTGGCCACAACACATAATAAAACAGATGCATGCACACGTAAATACATCTAAGCACATATACACACTCATACAAAGATCCTATAGCTTTTACTTTGGAACTCTAACCAAGAGATATCAACACAAACTCACCAGTTTATTAAAAAATGGTTGGATGCAAGCAGTAGTTTTTATCTTAACACCAGTAGAATGGTCCTCTAAACTACAAAAAAAAAAATACATTTTCTTAAGCAAAAACCATATCCTTATGTTTTTGTTTCACCAAAACCACGTCTTATTCTCCTATTTCTCTAATTCTTAGTAACTCTAATTCCCGGTAAAAATTCTGGGAATACTTAATTTAACATAACATGACTTTAAGATTTCAAATCAACAGAGAAAATTAAATTTACCAAATTAATCTTACCAAAGATTACCAGAGTCATGTGAACTGAAAAGCCTCTGAACTAGTTTCTGTTA